AATTGGTAACCAATTCTGTTTCATCTCCCCCCACCATTTTTTGCTAAAAGTGTTTTAAAGCAAATCCCACGCATATCTTACCATGTACATATACTCACATGTCAGCTTGAATCTCTAACAGATAAAATATGTATATATAATCACATGTATTATCACACCCAACAATGAACAGTTCACTGATGTCCAGCATCTAGTCCAGGTTCAGATTTCTCTGTCTCAAAAACTGTGCTTATGTTGGTGTGCGGAGGTGTGTGTGTGCACAGCTGAGTTCAGATCAGGATCCCCAAAAGGCCTACGTGTCACATCGGACTGCTTAGAAAGTAACATTTTTACATGTATCATACACAGAAATAAAACGTTTTTGTTCTTTTAGATCACTTAACATTCTTTGATAAATGTTTCCATCCTTACATGAATTTAAGATATTGCCCTGGCTGGTGTGGCTCAGTTGGTTGGAGCATTGTCCCATTAACCAAAAGGCTGCAGGTTGCATCCCCAGTCAGGTCAGGGCATTTGCCTAGGTTGCAGGTTTGATCCCTGGTCAGGATGTGTATGGGAGGCAGCAAATTGATGTTTTTCTCTCACATTGGTATTTCTCTCCATCTCTCTCTAAAGGCAATGAGAAAAAATGGTCCTCAGGTAAGGATAAAATTTTCAAAAATAAATAATTTAAAAAAGGTGTTTTTGAAAGCTGTATATTCTACTATGTTAGATAGCTAACCATGTCTTATTATGCTCTTCAAGTTGTTTCTAATTTTTTACTAACACAAATATGCTAAGTAAATATATTTTAAATGTGGTTCTATATTTAGGATTAGATTAGGTTCTTGGAATTGGGTTTATTGAATCAGAATAGAGATTTGATAGGTTAGTAATTTATTGTGAGCAAGTATACAAGAAGTTTTCATTTTTTTCAGTGGTCTTAGTTTTTTTAATTTAAATATTTTATTTATCTTTAGAGGGGAAGGGAAGGAGGGAGGGAGAGAAATATCAGTGTACGGTTGCCTCTCGTGGGTCTCCTGCTGAGAACTGGCCTGCAACCCAGGCATGTGCCATGACTAGGAATTGAACCGTGATCCTTTGGTTTGCAGGCCCGAGCTCAATCCACTGAGTTACACCAGCCAGGGCTCAATGGTCTTATTTTAAGAAGTAGATACTTTTAAAGGCCTTGTAAATGCAATTCACAGTACTTCACAAGAGGCTTATATCAATTCTTAGTCGTACCTCAAATATATGGAGGGTCCTATTTTAGCTACAGTCTTACCACAATTGATGATTATAATGTTTACAATTAATATAACCAAAAAAAAGGAGTCTGGCACATGAGTATTTACTGAATACAGATAGTTTTTATAATTCATAAGATATTTTTTACATTCTTTAACTCATCTGGAATGTACTTGAATGTTTATCCATCTTAAATTTAAGTTAGAGGTCTCATTTTATCTTTTCCTGAAAGTCATTGTTGAGTGCCAGTAATTACGACAGAAACAACAGCTTGAGCGTATGCTCTGAGCCAGACTGCTTCGATTTGAATCCTAGCCCTGCCACTGCTCAACTGTGACCTGGGGAAAGTTGGTCATGGAGAACAACAGTACTTGCTTTATAATATTGTACAGATGAAAGCAAACAGATACAAAGCCCTTCAGTCAGTACTGGCATATAAGGAATACTTCCTAAGAATTGTTGTTATTTATTGACTAGTCCATCCTTCCCAACTGATAGGAAATACCACCTTATCATATAATGAACACTTTGGTCTATCTCTAGGCCTTCTGCTTCATTTCCTTGATATAGCTTCCATCAGCACCAACATTTCACCACATATATTTCTTCTTACGCAGTCTTAAACCAAGAATGCATGTAAATGGGTCAATGCAAAATGCACCGATTTAATTTTTCCAATCAAAATAAGAAACAAACTAGTATGATCTCATTTCTATTAAGTTCTGAAGGTTTACAGCGAAAGTAATTTTGCTTCTATGTATGAAGGTTTAAAAAATCATTTTTTTCATAAACTACTAGAGCAACCAATTTCACCACTGAGTAAAAGTAAAAACTGGATTCTTGTTTAAATTAGTCCAAAGTAGCATTTAGAAACTTAATAGTTATATATAGGCTGCTGCACTGACACCATGGCAAACCAAACTGTGGACTTGGGTCTGGTTTTGTTTTGGTTTTCAATATCCAGTGCTTGTAGATTTAGCTCTGGAAACGTAACTGTAGGCAAGGATCTGTTTGGATTCCACCAAGGGTATGCTCCTTGGGTTGGATGCTGGAGGGTGAGGCACATTTTGCGAGGCCTGTGTCAACTACCTAGTAGTCATCAAGGTAAAAAAATTCATCCTCTCCTCCTCGGTATTCATTCCCTAAAAATCTACACGGTACCACAAGATACCTCCAATTTCACCAAGTTGAAAAGATTTCACCAAATCTTTTCACAAAGTACAATATTTCTTGTGACTTATCTGAGACAATTCCTAGTGTAGCATAAATTTTTTATAGTTGTTTGCAAACCGTTCCAGCAAAGGCATGCTCTCAGTTAGTTCATGTTTTTGTCCTCTTTGCCTATGAAAAGAGATCTACCCTTCTCTTCTGGAGTTAGACAGTTTCCTCCTCTTCTGTGCCTTGGCAGTGAAGAACGTATCTCACTACATTCAGATTTTCATGGACTATTAGAATTTCTGCAGCTCCCATTTCTAAAGCCTTTACTGTATCTTCAACTCCAAAACAGTACTTGCCCATGTCCTGGCTGATTTCATCAGAGTATCATCCTAGTAATTTGCCCTCTTGAATAAATTTCACGTTGAAGAGGACTTCAGTAGATAACTCATTAGCTCAGTTGAATCCATTTTCGCCACTACAGAATATATCAACTAATTTTAAAACTTTTGAATGCACCCTCTGATCAAATATATCAGATTGACTTAGTTCAGCTTTAAAGTCAACTGATCCAGCTAAAACAAGACCAGCCACACATTCACTTTGTCCCCGGAAGGAAACAGCTGCACAGCAGTCTCAGCTGCTTTCTGAATATAGTTAATGTCACTTTTCTTAAATGGGCAAAACTCAAGGCTGACTAACCACCTCTACCATATTTCCTTGGGAAAATCCAGAGTGAATCTGTGCAGGATTTCACGGGTTTCCTTGGAGTGTCCCAAAAAGTGCACCACTGCCATCTATTACAATGAAGCCAAACTTGCTACCCTCTGGTGGTAGTGCTGTAAGAGCCTCTGGATGGAATCTGTTGTCACGCAAATACAATGATGCATTGATTGGTTTGAAAAGTTCCAAGTCAGTGTTGACTTTCTTTTCCTTTCCTTCTGTTACAGTTGTACCACAGTAAAGAACCAGGCCATTTGGAGGTACTTTGTTAAAAAGTTTGAGCCTTTATTGTACAGATGTAAGGACTCCCAGGACTGAAAGGCGGTTTAATTGTGACAATGTTAGGCACAGGTCCAAACTCACCTGCTAACAACATTCTTGCCACTTGTGCAATCTGGTCTTTGGGAGGAATGATCAATGATTTCATGCCTGTGCATCATCGCAGGTCACCTCCAAGCGTCTTGATTTTCTAGATCTCCACAGCCTGGTCCCCAGCAGTGGTTCACTGCCTCCGCCCTGCAGGCCCAAGCCTGGGAGGCTGCAGCTCCTCACTGCCAGCTCCACAGCATAGCTTCATAATATAGTCTGATATCTGACACCTTACTGATTTTTCAGTTTTTATTGACCATTCAATATTTTCTGTCTGAGATAAACTTCAGAATAACTTTCATTATAAGACTACCTCAGTGATTCTGATTAGAACTACACTGTAAATTAATTTGGGGAAAAGGACAATTATTTAAAACTGTCTTTCGACAGGAATGGGGTGTTTCTCTCCATAATAGTACTTACTTTTATATCCCTCAGTAAACTTTTGATGTTTTCCTCATATAGGTACTTGTTAGGTTTATGCCTAGATACATTTTTAATGTGTCTAGGATAACACTCCTTTACATATTCTAACTTGTTATTTACTGGTATTTATAAATTTATAAAATTTATTTTAAAATCTTTTCAGAATTCTAATTCTAAGAGGCATTCAGTTGATTCTTAAGTTTTTGGGTAGATGATTATTTCTTTTGGAAATAATTTATGTTAAAAGTAAAACATTTTTCCATGACACTTTTAATACTGATGTTTTAGCTTTGCAGATAGGAAAAATATGTTGATACTTTTTTCTGATAGCTTCCAATGCTCCCACCCCCATTCAGAGTACTCATGAACATTTCATTATAATTTTTCGAGTTTTATTTTATAATTTTAGTTTTTTATTTGAAATTCTTGAACCAGTTAGAATTAATTCTGATACATGGTATGGAATGACTGTGCAAACAAACTTTCCCCAAAAGACTAACAGTATTCTTTACTGAATAGTTCTCCATTTTCTCACTGATTTCACTTATATAGTAAAGTAAAAGCTGTTAGTTTACTTCATGGATCTAGTTTCCTAAGTGTAAGTAAAATAGAATCTAAGCTAATTATTACAGGTTTTTGTCATACTTCCATAAGTGGTTGTGCTAGATTTTCTCAATACTTTTTCCAGCAATTCCTTTTATATCTTCTCATTTATCTTTCCCAATGTCTTTACAGGTATTTGGTTAAGTTAACCAAATTCTATTAGAACTCCAAATTATATTGCATTAAATATTTAAACCAAAAGGGAGAACTTACATCCTTATTTATCTTACTATGCAGGAATGCTATTTATCCATATTTATTTAAATTTATTTTTATATTTTTCAATAATATTTCACAATTTTAATTCAGTAAGTATCACATTTCTGGTTAGGATTATTCCTGTGTATTTTCTCTGTGTGTGTGAAAAGTGAATATTAAAAGTAAAGATCTACATTTATTCCTTCGATAAATTTTATTTCCTTCAAAAGCAAAAATAGTAAGTATATGAAAAATATAAAAGGTATATATATAAAGTACAAGATCTGTAACTGACATACCAGGGGACGGAGATAGGATACAGTCTCCTACAAATTTATTTTCGGCAAGGTCTACTTTTATTTCATTCTTTCTTAACAATGTTTCAAAGTGAAAATGGAGAGGCACATCTGGAAAAATAAATTAAAAAAACACATTTTCAGTGAACACTACTCTTTATAGATTCATTAAGATTGCTTTCTTTCCATAAATAGCACATACCTCATAAGCTTAGGAAAATAAGCAAAAGCTTAAAAAGTCACATCTTTCACAAGTGGCAGAATATTCTTTCAAACATACAGGTAGTAGTATTTTGGAATTACTGATCGAATGTTCTAAATAAATAAACATGAGGAACAACGAAAATAGTACATACATGAACAAAGTTGTAAATATTCACACTGAAAACAAATGTACCCAAAATGTCTTTAATAAAACATACAGCCCAACCTGGCTGACTCCTTTTAGGACCATTCTATCCCACCTCCAAAACCTTTGCATTGGAAATAATGAGATTTCCAAAAGATAAAATACATGCCTTTAATTACCTGAAGGAAAAACTTTTCAGACTCCATTTTTTATGAAAATGTCAGTTTTTACATTCTCTTGGGTTACCAGTATTATGAATCACAAAATGAGTCTTTTACAAGTATTAAAGCCTATTGACAAACTAGCTCTCATTAAAGAGAGACATTCAATTCACTGTTTACATTCTATATTCTCACAACCAAAAGAGAAGCTAAGTAGTAAGGTGTGCTTCCGATTTATCAACGGTTATTTTTTTATTTAATATTTTATTTATTTATCTTTAGAGGGGAAGAGAAGGAGAGAAATATCAGTGTATGGTTGCCTCTTGTGTGTCCCCTGCTGGTAACTGGCCTGCAACCCAGGCATGTGCCCTGACTGGGAATCGAACCGCGATCCTCAGGGTCGCAGGCCCAAGCTCAGTCCACTGAGCTACACCAGCCAGGACTATCAATGGTTATTTTTTAAATCAAGAACACAAAAACAAAGTCATCGTAAAAAGCATTTATTAAGAGAAACCTAACCTTTTTCATAATTTTATAAAGCAATTGATATACTGAACATGATGTTGGTGAGAGAAGGTTGTTTGTTTAAGAAAACTATGAACACAGCAGGATAGACCTAGGAAGGGTCTGAGTTTTAAACAAAGAAGCATCTCTCCCTCAAATGATGTATTTTGATGGCAGATTCATATTAAAGTGTGAAAAAAGATGGGTTCATGAGCATCATCACAGAGGCTGCTTAAACATTTCGGGATTCTGATATTTCCAATTACCAAAACATAGGTCTGTTTCTCCAAAGAAACAGCACTTCTCTGAAAGGACTATCATCTGTCCTATGGCCGTTCTTCATCGGTTGTGAGAAAACATGATATAATAACTAGGGAAGGTTCTTGTTCCACCCAAGTGCCTTCCTTAGTACTGACACTGTTGCTGATGGGCTCTCATCAAAATTTTTCATAACACTCTATTATATGTATTAGTTTACATTTCCATTGTCTTAAACTAGACTGCAAGTACCTTGAGGGATTTATTTGTATTTATACCCCTAACTCCTACTTAGTACCTAGTATACAGTAGGTGTTCAGATTTTTACTAAATGAACACAAGAAGAAAATAATCCTAATTAGTAGGTGAGGAAGATAATCTTGTAGAGGACATAAAAGGATTGAGATAAAGAATATCTATACCAGCTCTCAGGGTTATGTCATCAGAGCACATTTACTAATAAGAAACAGGCAGCCCTGGCTGGCGTAGCTCAGTGGATTGAGCGTGGGCCTGTGAACCAGAGTATCACGGTTGGATTCCCAGTCAGGGCACATGCCTGGGTTGCTGGCCAGTTCCCAGCAGGGGACTCATGAGAGGCAACCACACATTGATGTTTCTCTCCCACTCTTTCTCCTTCCCTTCCCCCCTCTCTAAAAATAAATAAATTAAAAAAAAAAAAAAAGAGGCAGTAAAGAGTAAAAGCTAGGAGTGCCGCTCCGGAGGATGGCTGTCTCAGACCAAACCCTGCCTTTATCATTATCTGTGTCATCCCAGATGAGTAATTTAACATTTCCAACATTCTCCTTTGTAAGACAGAGGGCAACAGTGCCTATCATCCTAGAACTGTTGTAAGAATTAAATAAGAAAGCGTAACATGCTTTTATATGGCCTAGTGTATGCTAAGGCCAAGTGCTAGCCGCATTACTGTTACATTTATTAGTTTCTTTCTATTAAGGTTTCCTCAAAGATGGAGTCAAATCGTTCCTGTCAGGAACTCACTTCAAAATAGAATGTACTTAAGAAACCATTATAATTCTACTGAAAACCAAAGTAAGACTCAGAGCAGGGATAGATACAAAAAAACTAGTGCTTTACAAAGAGCAGCAGTCCCTGGATGATTAGGAGCAAAGGCTGAAAGGAAACGAAAGCCCATTTGAGATATATTCCTGGTAAAGAGAAGAACCTGAGATAACCCGAAGGTAGCATGTTTGTTTGTTTCTTTATTTTTTAAGCTCAGTATGTACTTTAGTTCTTAGATAAGACTGGAATGGTTCCAACAGAAACCAGTAACTGGAACCTTAAAACCACTTTGGGATGTGAGGATGTATATGTCTCATTTACTCAGTTGTAGATCATAGATATTCTCAGGGTTGTGACTTAATTCCTCTACAAAAACTGTTTAGTTATACTATCCAGAATAATTGATAACTAAAATGTTATTAGATACCTTGTTTTATCGGATTAGGTTTCACCTTAGAAAATATTCAGTTACTTAGAAAAATTTTTATAAGGGGGCTTACCTGATGGCAATGATAGAACAGAGTGGAAAGAAGAATCTAGCTCTGATACATGTTCTCTGAATATTTGAGACTTTGAATTGTGTTCACAGGTACTCCAAGTTGAAGCTGACTGCAGACAAGGCATTTGTGTAGTATTTAAAAACACTGTTTCTTTTGAGGGCAAAGTCTGCAAGAAAAAAAAAAGAACATCTTTTAAAGTCTTCATTTTTTTTCCCCTTGAAAACTGAATCAGAGAGAATGTAACAGTTATAGCACAGTATCTGAATAACAGAAAGAAGTCCTGGCTTAAGTCATCTTGGAGAAAGCCCTTTAAAATGACAGGGTGAGAGAAGTTACTTAAGGCCATGAATGTGATGAGCTTTGACTGTTCCTTTTCAGTTTTTCAAAATGAAGAGCAACGTCTATACAAACGGGTCTTTCTTCCAACTTGTAAAATCACAATAAAGACAAATGAGTTTGAGAAACTTTGGGTAAAAAGAAAGTGGTTACACTCCAGATTAGTGAAAACTCCAGAAGATGGTTGAGCAAGGACTATGTTAAGAACTACATATACTCTTTGCCTCCTTGCAACCCATTACAACCAATGAGCAAAACTTAAATTTCTGCCTTAAATTCTACTGACAGACAATATCTACAATGTAGTAACAGTGAAGTACTATGAGTATTTTACATGTTAAGTAAAATTTAATTTAAAGTAAAACATTAAAAAGATTTGTATGAGCCCTGGCTGGTGTAGCTCAGTGGATAGAGTGCGGGCCTACGAATCGCGGTTCGATTCCCAGTCAGGGCACATGCCTGGGTTGCAGGCCAGTTCCCAGGGGGGGACTCACAAGAGGCAACCATACATTGATGTTTCTCTCCCTCTCTCCTTCCCCTCTAAAGATAAATAAATAAATAAATAAATAAATAAATAGGCTAAAAAAATAACTTTATTTAAAAAAAAAGATTTGTATGAAATATGCAATATGTTACATGAGTTTGAGGTTTTTAAGATAAAGATTTGAGTCCAGGAACCTCAAGAAAACCATGTTACTAAATCAAAAAAGTATGAATGCTGACCAACTGAATTTTAACTTATTTGCTTAAAAAAATTAAAAAGTGAGTAAAACTTCAAGTGCATGTATGCCCGAGGCTATTTCATTGGAGGGAAAAACTCCCTGTTAATATATGCTAAAATTTATCACAAATGACTTCTGTTTCCATTTCATTGGCCAAGACTTAGGTCAGATGGTCATACCTAGTTACAAGGAAGGCTAGGAAATGTAGTCATTATCATTCTGGTGATCTAGTAAACAGATGAGTTTTTATAAAAAGATACAACATGTGGCTACAAGATTATAAGAATGTTGAGTCATTTCCAAGATTTAATTATGTTATATGTATAAATATATAGGAACAGTTGCTGTTTCTTACATTTACAAGACGCACTGGTATTTTTGACTCATTATAGAATTATTTGCTCTTTTTTGATGTAGTTCAGAAAGGTATAAGGAACACTTATTTGAAATTACAAAGAAAAAATGTATTAACCTCGCTTTTTCCATATATGGCTAGAGCATTATGAATAAAAGTTAATAAAATCTGAATATTTACCATATAATTAGTTTTCTCTTGAAATTTTTCCAAATCCAGGAAACCCATTAGCCAATTTGAAACTATCCTAAATAATTATGGAGACAAGTGAGGGGCATCTAGGAAAAGGCCTTTGTTTTCCCTGCAGAGAAAGTGAAGCCCAGGAGGCTGAAAAGGAATGGATGGAGAAATAAGAGAAAAACCAGGAGATTCTTGCCAATAAAAATGCAAATGTCTAGAGGGCGTGATCAACAATACCATATGGTGCATAAAATTCAAGTCAAATCCTGAAAAATACTCATTAAATTTTTTAACGCCAATAATGAAACATTTCATATGTACAAAATATATAATTTATATATTTTTAAATAACTTTAAAAAGGCCTATACTCACCATCCTACTTTACGAACAGAACATTACCGATACCTTTGATGTCTTTTTCCTCTTACACTGCCCACACAAGGCTGTAAAAGAGACTGCCACTAGACCGCTACTTTTTCCTGATTGTGCTGTCTCCCTGTTCAAAGCTCCTGATTTTGGGCTGGGATCATTTGTTAAGCTTTTTTGCATGTAAAAATGACTGAGTTCTAGCCAGAACATCATGAAGGGAAGTCATGTGTGCAGTGTCCATGTCTGGGAAGTGACCTTAAGAAAGTCACTTATTCCTTCATTCTTCCACCTCGATACCTGTAACAGAGCTATGGTGCTGAGCCTCTGTGACCACATGAGTGAGGGTGATGCGGAAACCATTAAAAAGGCAGGGGCCCCCTGGATTCTGGGTAACCCTGTGAAGCACAGCTATCAGGACTAGAATATTTTCAATCTACTACAAGACAAATAAATTCACATCCTGCTCATGTCACTATTTGGGTATCATTTACAGCTAAACCTGTATCTTACCTAATATAATGTGCCTCCTTAATCATATTTTCCTTTCAACACCCGGGAGTAACTGCTATCCTGAGTTTTATCATTTTCTTTATAACTTTTCCAAATATTTACTACTTAAATCTGTATGCTTTTAAAATGTAGACAATAATATTAAGTATACTTTCCTGCTTTAGTACTCAAAATTATGTGTAATCAATTCATCGTTCTCCTGTTTAAAACATCTCGATTGTTTTTAGTTTTTATATTATGGAGAATGCTAGGGTAAATATTATACAAGAGTGGGCAAAAGTTTACAGTTTGCATGAAAATAATACAAATAATACAGTAATTAATAAATACTACTTGTTTTCATACAACCGTAAACCTACTTTTGTCCACCCTGTGTTTGTGCCCTGACACATGGGCATAAGAGTGTCTCTAGGTACAGTGACAGAAATGGAATCACTAGGTTATACAAATGCATGAATTCATATATTCAACTTGAGTAGACAATATACTGTATTAAAAATTAGTTGTAACTGATTGACACTTCAGAGCAGATCTTAGGTCTCATTGCTTCAGACCCATGCCAACACAGTTACTGTCAGACTTCTTATTTTTTCCAATCTCAGAGCATACAACTAGTATCTCATGGTTAAAATATGTATTGCTGTTTATTTTGAGCACCTTTTCATGCCTATAACTGGCCATTCACGTTTCTTGATTTAGGGAAATACATGTCTTGATGATCTTTTTATTGGGATGTCTTTTTCTTATTGATTTTAAAAGTTCACTTTATGCATTCTAGAAAGTTCTATATATTGCTCCCTGTCTGAGCTTCTTTTCACTTTCTGTGGTATCTTTTGATCAACAGATGTTCTTAGCTTAAATGTTTCCTTTTACAAATATCTACAATAGAGGTGCCAGGCCCATTCAAAGGGAAAAATAGTCTCATCAACAAATGGTGCTAGGAGAACTGGCTATTCACAATTAGGAAGCAAAAGAATGAAGTTGAACTCCTACCTAATTCCATATACAAAAATTAACTCAAAATGGATCAATGCCTTAAATATAAGAGCTTAATGCCATAAATATCTTAGTAAAAACATAGAGTAAATCTTCATTATACTGGGATAAGCAATAGAGTCTTAGGTGTGACACCAAAGCACAAAAAAACATAACTGGACTTCATCAAAAAAACTTGTATATCAAAAATGTTATAAAAAAATAAAAGCAGAACCTGCAGAATGGCAGAAAATATTTAGAAAATATATATCTGATAAGGGACTAGTATCAAGAATATATAAAGAATTCTCATAATAAAAAAGACAACTCAATTAAAAAATAAGCAAAGAAAAAAAAGCAAAGGACTTAAACATTTCTCCAAACCAGATACACAAATGGCCAACAAGCCCATGAAAATATGCTCAGTATCAACAATCGTTAGGGAATACAAATCAAAACCACAGTGAGTCACCTTATCACATCCACTAGGATGTCTATATTTTTAAAAAAAGGAAATAAGTATTGTTAAGGAATAACAAATGTTATAGAAATTATGGGACTCATGCATTGCTGATAGAAATTTAAAATAGTTTGACTGGTGTGGAAAATAGTTTAGTGTTTCCTCAAAAACGTTAAAGCATAGAATTACCACATGACCCGGCAATTCCACTACTTGGTAGTATGTGTGTAATCTGCTCCCGTGTTTTAACATAAATAGTAGCATATGAACTATTCTATATCTTGCCTTTTTTCCCTGGTAAATGGTACATCTTAGAGACCTTTCACATTAGTTTGTGCAGAGCTTCCTAGTTCTTGTTTATAGTCCATGGAAACTCTAGGGTATTTAGCCAGTCTCTTGCTAATGAACATTTGGGTTATTTATAGATTTTGCTTTTACAAGCAATGGTGCAATAAGTTATTTCATATCATATGTAAATTCATATTTAAAATAATAACTTGAGGTAGAATTTACATTTCATAAAACTAACCATTTTAAAGTCAACAATTCAGTGGCCTTTAGTACATTTACAATGTTGTGCAACCACCATCTGAAGTTACAAGCATTTTTTTATCGCTCCCAATAAAACTCCTCACCCATTAAAAGCAATTTCTCCCTATTACCTCACATCCCTAGCCCCTGGCAACCACCCATCTCTCATTATGGAGTTAACTATTTTGAATATTTCTTATACATGGAACCACACAACATGGGACCTCTGTGTCTGACATGTTTCAGTTAGCATAAAGTTTTTGAGGCTCATCCAGGCTGCAGCATGTGTTGGCACTTCATTCTTTTATGGCTGAGTAATACTCTATTGTATGTATATACCACAATTTGCTTATCCATTCATCCACTGATGGACATTTGGACTGTTTCCACCTTTTGGCTATTGTGGCTAGTGCTGCTATGAATTGTGTGCGTATGTTCTTGCTTATAAATGTGTTTTTCATTCTGGAGGGATATACAGGCATACCTGGGAAATATTGTGGGTTCAGTTCCAGACCACTGCAATAAAGCAAATATCACAATAAGTGAGTCACACAAGTATTTTGGTTTCCCAGTGCACGTAAAGTTATGTTTATACTATACTGTAGCCTATTAAGTGTGCAATAGCATAGCATTATGTCTTAAAAATAATGTATATACCTTAATTTAACATTATTGCCAAAAATGCTATCATCTGAATCCTCAGCAACTCTTTCTTTTTTTTGCTGTT